ACTGCGGGGAACTCTGCAAAAAACGCATCTTCGCACGGGCAGCCCGTGCGTTGGCCAATTTTTAGGTCTTGATCACTGGTTGAACTGTGTTCAAAAATCATTTCGTTGTCCTTTATAATCAAATCTGCTTTTTCCATCATCAAATTGGAAACACAGAGATCAAAATTTAAGGGCCTGACATAGCTGAACCTGGCGCACAAAGGCACTCCAGCAAAATCATTAGCATCAACTACCAGCACAGTCCTAGGCATCAGGTCAAATTAGAAAATGTATTTTCGCTCGAGTTATATTGACCAGAGAGAGAGAGGATTATTCCAGAAAAGGGTACCTTTGCCACTCGATTCCATAGCTCCCGACACATTTTATTTTTAGGATTTCTTAGTGACATACTAGCATGTCTGTCATTAATGCAACGCTGAAGCGAATGCTTTACATCAAATTCAGCATGACAACAAAAACACACACGATTTTTCAAGTGCAAAATGCAGCCTGAGCATCTGATGTGTTACCTTTGGTATGTCCAGCACTCTTGGACCAGGTACCATTGTTGGGATACGGGAATTCATCGTTGTACATTATGCTGAACACCTTAAATATTACCGTAGGAAAAAATTGCTACATTTATTTTCAGTTGTGCAACCACGCTATGTTTGAAAAAATGAGGAGATACCATCAAAAATTTTGTTTTCGTGCAAAGAAGAAGTGAAATTTCCCCAGGATTATTCAAGGATATTTTTAAAGTACAACCAATGACAGTAGAAGAGGGCAACAGTGCAACGTTAGTAACTACAGGCTTTGAGGGTCATAAGATACCACAAATCTCGAGCTTATTGGTCCTGATTTAGGCATATACAGAAATTCTTCTGAAAAGACCTGAGTCAGACTCGAATCATTTTTATAATTCACTTCAAATAAAAAACAAAATCACCAGGGACTAACTCAAGTGATAGAGTAATTAACCGCAATCAAGACTGTATTAATTTCTTACTGCGAGGAAAGCTTAAAAGCACAGATGGCGGTTTTAAATCTTTGACAAATACCAATTTAACATCGAAACGAATGAGTGCGTCGTGGATAGCACTGGCTATTGCACTAACGGATTCAAGCCTCAACATTCAGCACCACGCTAGTGGTAATTGCTGCCGCCAGAAAAATAAACCAGTTTCGGAAAATTTGATGGTCTGAACACATTTTAACAGTTTTCCCTTTTTTGCAAAAATACATTAACAATTACTTCTTTATCCAACGTACTTGAAGTCAAAATCTTCAAAACTGTCCCAAATTTCACGCTTTTTTAAGGGACCACGCAAGATAGGTTAAGTTTTTTTGAGGACGGAGGCAAAACAGAAGTGCCAACTCTCCAAACACGTTATCTGCGCTTTTGTTGGATTCCCATTCTCTCATTACATAACACTTCAACATAACATGTTTACTGATGATATGACGACTATCACATAAAAATCCACTTTTCTTAGGGAAAATCAACCTCTGGATTGTTTTTGACTTCATAATATTGATGCAAAGTGTGACCAACTGATTGTTTCGGATTATCAATTCCCAGTTCCGAAACTTCCCATTCCCGAGTATTTGAATCCATATAAAAAAATCCGGAACCGTTGCGGATTAGTTCGTTATTCGATTCTTGGATACGTCCAATTTTATAAAATATAAACCTGCAGTTATCAGTAACCTGACCACCCTCTGGAAAAATTAAAAAAGTATAGAAAGTAAGTTCTTAAAAATCAGTGTTTAGCTGAGAAGGCTATAGCTGAGACGGACGAAGGGCCGTAGCATATCTCTGCAGTGAGTTGTAAGAATGATACTAAGAAATTCAAGATAATTGGAGAGGTTGTATTTATGAAGTCTGACTGCATTACAATATAGTTAAAGAAATAATAAAGTGTGATTTTTAGAAGAAAAACAAAAAAGATTTCGGGCAAAAAAGATTTCTGAAAATAAGCTAAGAAGAACTCAATAAAATTATGGAAATAAAAAAAGTCAAAAAATTTGATGAATCTCCATGATGAATATTTAATTTGAATATTTCATCTCGGATAAATCCAAAAGTAGCTAATACCAATCGACAATCCGATTTTCGTTGTCGCGGCACTGAAATTCGAGTCCAAAACAGCGACATGCAAAAGCAGTAACTAGTACCACAATTAAACATATCTTTCGTGTCATTATTCTGCAATAAGACAGAAATTTAGTTGCAAATTCGATTAAGCATCTTATAAGAGAGAACGGTTCGGAGGAAAGAACACTTGAAGCGTCTCTTCATGTTCGTATAAGCATCAGACTACCAAATGGGCTTAATAAGCCAAAAGCACTGAAGCTTTCAAGAAGCCGCCAAGAATGGGAGTTTTACTTACCAGGAAATGTGGGATACACTGGGAGCTTGGGTTACCTCTCTTCTTGCAAAGCAAACAAAATCTAACCACTTAGCAGGAAGGCTTGTGTGAAAAACGGCCTCCATTACCACTGACGACTCAACTCCTTCTCTTGTCCTCCTCCTTCCCATTACCTTTCCTTGACCTCGAATCCTCTTCGACCTCCGTCTTCATCATTTTCCTTTCTAATCACTCCATGTAAAAACTACCGAAACTCCTTGAACGGGAACGCTGCCAGTAAAATATATTCGTGCACCTGTTTTAACTATGCCAGACTCTCGATCTAAGCCGGAGCCATCAGTTTGTATCCATTCACCTGTTCGACACATGTGCACTACTTCTTTGAAGGCTGCTTGAGTGGTCATTTTCTTTCAGGAGAGTACCATTTACTGACACTCGACATTTACCGGTTACATCAGTAAAGACGAACAACATGTTCCTTCCAGTCAGAATTTACTCCCTTGCTTTATGCAACAATATTTCGTGCACAACTCACTGTTTCCTAAGCTACACCTTGGACCTAAGGCATCAGTTTTGAGATGACAGCATACTATTCCACCGCTGAAATTCACTTTTTTTTGGATTTGTTTTTTTTGGAACTCACTTCTTTTTGGATGTACGAAAGAAGCTTCACTATGATAAATTACCATTTTATCGATGGCTGATATATCTAGTAAAATTGTTTGAAAATTGTATATTTAAAAGGATCAGATAAGTTTGCAGTCTGTATTTCATCCCTTGTCTTTAACAAACAAATATTTATTTCACAACCTTACTACGAAAATCACAAAGGCAACTTAACTATTCATTGTAAGAATAAAAAGGCACTTCACTGTACAATGTATCACAGTATGCTGACACGGAATACAATAAGTGTTAAGTGACAAAAAAGTTTATTATCACAATGGCTCCTCCTGAAGTATTTGCTTGTGTATTTCTAGTTATTCATTTGGTCCCTTAACTTTGACACTTCCCATATTCTTATATGCGATGAATCCGTACTAAATAATGTATTAGTATTCGGATTTGTGTTGTTGGTACACTGATAAAACCTTTCAGGATTTCAAGTTTTTCCAGAGTCCCGAAGAATCTACTATGTTTTGAATTAGATCCAAAAGGTCAGAGTGAATGAACCAACTGGCGAAGATTTTTGATTCATTTGGTTTTTTGCTAAAAAATTAATCCTAACTCGCCCTTAGTACGGTAGATTAGCACCTTTATCCAATATCCACCCTCAATTTACAACAGAGCAATGATGCCGGTCCGGTCGATGCGGAAGGGATCCAAACGCCCAAAGCGATACTAGAAAAAGCCCTCCATCAAATTTGGCTTGGATGACAAAAATCAGCTGCTAGCCCAATTCCAAGAAAATCCTACAAATGCGTCAGGCAAATCTGGGAGGACTCGAGCGACTGAATTCAGCGCATGATTACTTCTCGATAAAAATGAAGATTTCAGATTAGCTCCCGAAGCAACAGTTCCAAAATTTCTTGCAAAATAATGCACCTGCAATCCTAGAAACTCGATTCAGAAGGATTCCCTCCTAAGTCCTCTGCGATTCGGATTAGTTCACATTAAGCACCTCAGATATTTCGCATTTTTTCGATCGGGATTGTCGGGGTACAGGCAAAATAATGGAAAATTATATCAAATTCAGCGCAATTTTAACAGAAAAAGTTAAAACCCTTTTGATATTTCATAGTGAAAAGACTGAGGGAATAAAGGTAACCAATCGCAATAAAAGTTAGCAGTAAATACCTAGTATGCTTTGCCCAGAAGCCAGTTAGAGGCAGTTTGATTTCACAGCATGCACCAGCACCAATTTGCCATCAGAACAAATACTTCGAGAGGAAAAAAACTAAAATAGAAAAAAAAAATATTTAAGTGGGAATGTCCATAAAGAAAATAAGGCAACTACGAACATAATACACACGCACTGGAATGAAAGTTATACAAAAAAAGTAACTTTACACATTTACCTATTCAACTAAGCAAGAATACGTTAAAATGTGGAAGGAACACTTCTGAGTTTAAAATGAGAGAAATTTCAGGGCTTGTAAAACACCCGCCCCTGATCCCTTCCCTCTTCCTGGTTCTGCCTTCTCCTGTCATCGCTCTTTAAAGTTTCGTGATCTAGGAAGATACCGAGTCTTAACAAAATTTTATTAACTCAACTGCCAGATTAAAAACAAAGCAAAACTTCATTCATACTTCGCTGTTTCTTCCCTTTTTTCCCACCCCACAAATTCAGTGAGCATTATCACCTTTTGGCAAAACTGATACCGTGATAAACAGCAAGTTATCAACAATTTGTTAGCAGATGATTCTACTGATAAGTACTGATACTCAAATTACATGTTCGCTGCGTCTTAAAGAAAGAATTTAAAAAAAAAAAAACCTAATTCTAACAC